TTCAAACATCATGGGGGGGCTGTGCTTTTTTTTTTTTTTTTTTTTTTTTAAAGAATAAACAAAGTGGAAAAAAAAAAAGTAATGGATTACAGTGAAAAGTAAGGCGTCTTCCCTCCACCCAGTCCTTGACCGCAGTCCTCATCCAGCGACGTGTTCCGACGCATACACACCGTCCTATTTTCACTCCCTTCCATCACTCAGTTGTGTATGGCAGTATCTTCTTAAATTTATACCTTAAAAGTCGGTATCTCTGCTTTTTTATGTCAGCTTAGTAGCTTTAACATTGGACTCTTCCCAACGGAAAAGGAAGTGAGTCAGCAAGCCTTGCCAGTTCTCTACCCTTCCCCCCATCTGTCTGCTGCCTTTGTCCCACTGTAACTCTTACACCAAGGTATACCCAAGTCTGTTGTGTCATTTCCTTCCCAGTGTTCATTTAAATGGTTTCTTACTCATCAAAAACTCTTTGTACCAGTTATTTTTAACTTATACAAGGGTTTTATTACACAAAGAAAGAATACACAGAACTCAGTTCACCTCTATAATAAATGAATAGCAGGAGTGGGCATTATAGTAAAGCCTATTGGGGGGCCCCCGGCCCATGTCCTAACCCCAATGTTTCTCTCTCAGGTGCCGTCACATGTATGTGGATGAACGAACAGTGCAGCAGTATCATCACAGGAGGGGAAGACAGACAAATTATGTTCTGGAAATTGCAGTATTAAGTGCCTTTTCCTCTCGAATATTAAATTAAAAATTCTATTTAATGTATTTTTAAACCAAACTTTTAAATGAACTGTGGTGAAGTGCAATGATAATAATAGAAGTTTTACCACAGGGAAAACTTGTGGGCTTAAACTTTCCAATCATGGTGACTTCATTGGAAGCTGTTACCTGCCATTCTCTAAGGCAGATAAAAACATGGCAGTGTTAGGTACATCTGTGAGGCAGATGACCATCCCAGTACAGTGGCGAGAAGACAGGGTTAGGTGGCCGAGACTGCAGAAACTTCTAAGACAGGAGAAGAGAAACGTGCAGTGTTCTCTACGCTTCGGTCACTGCTTGGTCTTCCTAATCTACAATCTGCCACGAGGCTCTGGGATGTGTGTGTGTTCATGGAGTGGTTACTTTCTATAATGCTGTGCCCAGATTCTAAGAACCTGGGGGGAATTAGCAGTTCTTATAACAGTAAGTTCACTGTGTATAGGAACGGTTTGTATTTCATTATAGCTATTAAATGCTCACCTTTTCTACATTAAAAATATTTTTCTGTAATGAAACCAGTTTGTATATTCTTATTAAATTATTACAAATATTAATAGCTTTTAAGAACCACAAGTGCTGCTACTTCTTAAAAACCATATTTCATGACATGAATATAGTTCTATTGCTTTTGAAACTATCTTTAGACCTAAGTCCAGATGGCACAATATGATAATCAAACCCAGAAATGCTATTTTGGTTTGCCTTTCTAAATTCCAAACAAGGGAAGCTATACAGCAGTAGCACTGATTTTCTTTTGTATTCAACCTCCAAACCACAGTATGACTTGGTTTTTCTATTCTTTAAGAACATTATGTTTTATTTTGTAGGCAGTATGGTATAGGGAAAAAAACTTCAAAGTCAGTTTGAAGTGTCATTAAGTATTTCATGGTCTCAGTGTTGCTAGGAAGGATCAGTAGCCTCACCTTGTTCCTGCTGCATGGCCTGATGTGCACAGGTGTGAACCAGCTCCCTCCATCTGGCTCTAGGCCGCCCGTGGACACGCTTTTCCTGACATGCTCTCTCAGTGCTGAGGGCTATTCTCAAGGACCCTGGATACAGCAGCTCTGGGAGATGACAGTCTGCCACACCTGGAGGTGAGCCTCTAGTCATGGAGTAGTTTGATAAAAGCCACTGATGCAGTTTCCAAATGATATAACAGACAGACTAAATTTAACTTTATTTATACATATTTAATTAAAATAGAGTAAGCATAAACCAAAAAGAAGAAAACAATCAGGATAAAGTGTCATTGCCATGTTGTTTGCAGGGAGAAGTCAAGAAGTATTAGCGATTACTAGGAAAACATTCAAAGACCATCCCAAAGAAGCTAGGTTACATAATAGCTACAGTTCAAATGCCAAATTAAGTATTATCCCACATAATCTACAATGAAAAATGGGGTCAAGGGCTATCCTGTTTAGTATAAGAATTTTTACATGAAATATAGAGCTATTTGCTTCTTACAAAGTGATACTGGCAACAAGTTTCCAATATGTGATGACTAGAAAACCTCAGCTACAGCTAAGCAGCTAAGCTACAGCTCAGGAAGTACCATTAAACTGTCCGGGCGAGGGTACGTTTCAGTTTAATGTAGAACTGCATTCTGGGTTTTACAAAGGCAGCAGTATTTTATTTTGGCTCTTTTTCTAGATGCCTAACATAGTTAAGGCGACATTTCAAGCGTATTAAGTGAAGGTAGTTACAATTTAATGACAATCATTACAATTTCTTGCAACCTACATACACTGTATAATGCTTACATGGAATGAAACCAGTGTTACTTAATTGGTGTTTTACACACATACACGCACACAACTTAAAATGGTTAAAGGCAGTCATTCTAAATGCACTGTGGTAACAGGTTAAAATGCAGCTATCTCACAGAACTGAAGTAATATGAACAGCGCTGCTTGTTACCTGGGAGGAAGGCGGCCCACTCACACGCTAAGCCCGCATCAGTCATCCTAACCACAATGGCTTGTCAAAGCATCAGGTTTCCAGTAGAGAAACTAGTCTAGGAAAGTCAGTGATCTGAAAAGTTTCACATCCGTAAAACCAAGATAAGGCTACAACTATCTTGAAATCTGACAAGATATCAAATGGAAGAGTAAGATTCCCAGCCATAATGGAAGCTAGAAAGGTCCTCATGCAGCATATGCTCGCTGGCTCCGGGAAGCTTCATGTGCGCAATACGGAAGTGCCGAAAGGAGGGCTGCAGGGGTCAGCCCCATCCCTCGTGCCAGGCCTTAAACCTCGGGAATGGTGTGGTCCATCAGGCTTTTCATGATGCTTGGTGCCATCCTGTAAGAGAGTCACTTATTACTATATACTGAAGTGGTTTTTTCTTTCTTTTTTTCCCAAAAAATGCTATGTAATCCAAGAAAATGCCAATTTTAATGTAGCACCTGTTAGCATCAAATGAGACTGAGGGAGAAAGGGAAGACTGTTTAAACGTCTTTGGATCCAAGGGTCTCTGGTAATCTCGTCACTGGCAGATACTCAAGTGTAAACTACATGTATTTTAGACAGAAATTTAGATACAAATAAAATGACAAGGCTGTGATAGATTAGGGAGGAGAAGGGAGAAAAGTGGTTTTAAAACAGAGAATTCTTGGACAGACAGTCCTGACAGTAAGGGTCCTTTTCTCCTCTAAGAGCAGCAGGCTGCATTCCACCTGAAAACCAACACAAAAATTTCCTTACAAGGGTTATGTTCATGAATCATTTTTTCTAGAGGTTTAATGCCTTAGGGCAGGCATGTGCACTCACCAGAGAAAGAGAGACAGTGAGAGGGAAAGCGAGAAATCACCTCCTCGGGGACAGCCATGCTGCAATTCCTTTTCCTGCATTCTCTTTCTGGGTTCTTGGTCATACACGCACACGTGCCCCACCTGAGTCTCAAGCCACCCAGTCCAGGACTCTAACCACAGTTGGTCATGTGGGAGTCCAGAGACGTAACCACCACACCATCTGCTGGTCCCTCATGAATCTTTTTAATCTCATTTGCAAGTACATGAAATTCAGAAAGAGGATTCCAAACTTTCTGGCAGAAACCTGTGATAGGAGCTGGGCTATGAAAAGGTCTTGAGAAAGTAACCTCGCAGCCCCTTTTTGATTGTCCTTACTCAGCTTTCTAATCCTGCTCCGTAAGACAGACAGCAGTAGCCCCACACACTTCTTCTACCTGCCTCCTGAGATGCTGGGGACTAGAAACTGTCATTCCTAACACTCCATCAGCAAGAATTCTCCACGAACCATGACTAGATCCTTCCTGAGCAGAGGAACTAAGTGCAACTGCAGTCAACTGGTCTGCAAATCAAACACTGAATGCATGCCTACCTCTGCTGGGACGCTCTTTCCACTAGGCAATGTCAAAATCTAGCAAGTGAATGGTGAATGTTAATCCACACTTGGGAAGTTTTAAGATGTCATCCTTACCAACCATTTCCTCTGATTTAAACAATTTACATAAATTTCAAGGTAAATTGTTATTCCTTAGGTAAAAGAACCAAAGATTTGGGAATTAAATGAAAATGAAAGTATAATACTTATAGTAAGTCATATGACCACACATATTGAACTGTCTACTTACCGTTTAATGATATGTTCAAAGATAAAAGCAGGCATGATTGTAATGGTAACCACTGTCCCAGATGTTGACAGTATGTCTGCAATTTGAGAATCCTGATGAAAATATACAATGCAAATTAATCCAAGGCTTTAATAAAAATAATTACAATATATACCCTATTGTATTTTGCTAATATTTCCAAAATACTAACCTTTGATATTTCTAATTTTTTCTAGTACTTCTTACCAACTTAAATTCTATAGAATACCGTTTTACAACTGGATGAAGATTACTAAGTAAACTGAGTTGAACGTATTATTAAAAAAAACTTTTCATCACTTAAGATTAAATAATTTTCCCCATACAATACTACCATGTTCTCTCAATTAACTATGTATTCTAAACCAGTTTATGAAATGAACACATCTCAATTAAAACTGTCAGACCTCAGATAGCCTTAATGAGGAATTTGTGGAGGGGAGTACACTACAAAATAGAAATATGACTGGAAGCTTTTATTCATTTCCTTCATTCCTAGATTTAAAAAAAAAAAAAAAGAGAGTTGATCGGGGCCAGCAGGTGGTGTGGTGGTTAAGGGCACTGGACTCCCACGTGGCCAACCGTGGTTCAAGTCCCAGACCTGGAGGTTTGCTTCCTCAAAAATACCCCCCAAAAAAGTTGAGCAACCATTCAGAGTATTAGCAAAATCTCTCTTGTCCATGTCGCCACAGAATTCTAGCTCAATGGACTTCACAGACCAGAATCTGAGCCCTGTTGTTACAGGAAAGACCATCCTAGATTATCATCTAACTCCTGTGACCGGCCAGAGACTGCAGCTAGCTAGGCCAAGCCAGCACCCTGGGTCCCACGTCTCCTGTCTCACACCTGAGTTTCTGCACTTTGGAGGGCAAGATGAAAGACCGTCTCCTAGACAAGGGAAGGGCATCTGCTAAAGTCAGCTGCAGCAGAACAGGCATGAGGCCTGTTCCTTACCTTCAATCCAATAACATTCTGTCCGTTGATTTCACAGATGTTATGCTCTGTGAGAAGACCATTTCTGGCTGCAGAACTATCTTTTACTATGGATGTTATTTTCCCGTTTTTAAAGATAAAGCCAACATGTCCAGTGCTATCCTTATGCATGGTGATTGTGCGTTCAAAGGGTCTGTTTAAAAAAAAGGGAACCATTTACTTCTATGGAAAATATTTTAATGCATTTCTTATATAATACACGCTGCCATATTGGATATTTGGTAATAACAGCCATTCAGTATTTCTAGTAACAGTAACTTATAGTTCTGTTTTTAGACATTCACAGAACACCTCTGTGTAATAGACTGCATTTTATAAAAAAATCTTTTCACTATGGTCTAACTTTCTTACTAATCAAGATTTCCTTCTTTAGGTTTCAAAGACAACTGAACACAATGCTTTATGCAGTTCACCAATGTTTCTCCCTTTATAATCCACCAGTATTAATATTACGATCAAGACAGGATTTGTCCCATATCATGTTGGTAAAAATAAATTATTTTTTATTAACTTTCAGTATTTCCTAGAGCCTATCCATTCTTATTTCTTTTACTTAAAACCTTTATAATTTTTCACATCTTGATTTGGAAATTTTTATAGAATTTTTTTTGTTTTGCTGTATTTTAAAAGAGCTTCAGAAACACTAAGCCCCTCCTGGAAAGGGAGGTCTACAGTTACTACAAGGTTGTCATCTGTCCACTTTCAGAAGCTGCAAAGCCACTTATGCTTGCTCGTTTCTTTAACTCTGCCATCCGGTCATCGTCAGGGTCTCATGATAAACCTATTCACATGGTAACATTCAGAAGAGCCAAATCTGTGGGTTCAACTTCCTCTCTGAAATTTTGCTTACAGTAAAAATAACATTAATCTACAAACTTGTATTAAATATCTCATATGTACAAGAAACTGGCAATGCAAAGACAGATAAAGTGGGAGTTTAAGAAACAAAACCCTCAAGCCTTTTGTAATAATGTGATACAGGCCCATCCTTAACGCAGGGCCAGAGAGGCCATGCCACTGAGTTACTAGGCCAACTTACATTTTCTATTTTCTATAGTGATATAAACAGGTAAATGCCTGCTTAGAAGATACATTTCTATAAGCTCTGATATAAGGTATATATGAAAAATTGTTATTTTTTAAAAAAATCAAACTTTGTGAGAAAGATCACCACACAACAGCAAGGTTCACCAATATTATTTGATTACTTAAAAAATACTACATTCACAGAATCTTGAAAGCCCAAGAAACTGGAAAACCAGTCCTGAATCTCCACTGGAACTCTCGTAACAGCTTACCTATCACGAATGGTCATGGTAATCTTCTCTCCAAAAGCCTGTTTGAGCACCTTGTGGGCTTTATCAGAGCTCCAGCCAGCACAGTTCTCACCGTTGATCTGGAGAACTTGGTCCCCAAATCTCAGACCAACCAATGAGGCTGGAGAATTAGCCTGGACTAGTTGAACAAAGATACCCTAGACAATAAGAAAATAACTGTTCATTTAGTCACTATTATTGATATAGTTTGGAAAATTAGGAAATAACTGTTTAGGTTAGAAAATCTACTCCAGGAACAAAACCAACGACAACAGAAAAGTGATGTTATTCTCCCCCTACCGCCTCCCCAGAAAAAAAAAAAAAACTAAAATTATATCAAGGAAATAACCCAAAAGAATAGGGAAAAAGTGAGATCTCAAACATGATCCATCTGACTAACCTCAATCACGCCCTTCATCTTGGGATAAAGACCAAAGAAAGTAAAGTACGACAACCTTAACAAATATAAACTTCTCTGAATCTGACAGAATACCAAACAGGTCTCAGCACATGATTACTATTTAGAAGGAAAGCAAGTTAAGTTTGTGAATTCTTTTATACTTGAAAAAATGATAGTTTAAGGTCATAATTTCACCTTTCAAGCTGAAGGATTCCTTTACCCATTTGTTAAACTATGCATAATTTTAAAAAGGTTAATTTAACAGCCTTTAAAAACGTGCACATGAAATATCACATAAACCCTTACAAAGAATCCAGTATGAAATAAATACAGAAAATTCAAGTACTGTTAATTAAGAACTAAACTCACCAGGGCATTTTATATGAATTCAATCAGATGCTGAATAAAATGTAAATAGACATGAATAAAAGAAGAGTAAACTTGGTAAAATATAAACGCACCTACAAGGCTAGGCCCTCTCTATGATCTTAAGCTGGGTGATTTTTGTTATGTGTGTGTTACATGTTAGAGTGGTAATCCAGAACCAGACAGCACTCCATAAAGTAAGCCAATATACTCTGATCAAGTGGACTGCAAGGATACCTATAATCGGGCAAAGGAACCTATGAAACAGTATCTTTTCTCTTTAAGGACAGGAAAGAACAGAAAGAAAATCCTGGCAGTACAGTCTAGTCACTAAAGAGGACAGAAATAAGAGCAGTGAAGTCAGAGCTTCCCAACCAAGCACACTGAGGTGTCCTGAGTAAGCTACATGTGAGCAAAGACGTCGTGCCCTTAGCTTTCCGGTGGGCAGGCAAGGTTGGGGCTTCCTGCCAAGATCAGCTCCACTTACTGCAGTGTGGTGCATTCATTACCATTTTCTGTGTGGAAAGACTGAGCTAACAAGATGTACAACTGAACCAGGACCCAGGAAAAATGGCTAAAATCCTAAATTGGGATAAAAACCCAGCACATCCTTAGTAATTATAAAACCATTCCTCAGAGTCAGAGTCACCCTGTTTGATTTCTTCAGTAGGTAGGGTGAGAGGTAAAGGAATTAGAAGGTAACGTAATGGCTGCCGTAAGTAAAAAGATACTTGCTCAGAAAATGACCTACGAAATTCAAATTTGGAGGACGGAATTAGCAAACCTGCACAATCACCTCACAGGTTAAATAATTAGCATTTGGTTTAACAATGTACACATGTCAATCCTCACTGATCAGTGTGTCCATAACTTTCACACAGAATGCTATTACACAAACTATGTGATAATATATATTTCTATAATATATTATAGAAAGAAAAAGAAATTCAGATAAATGTGACCGTAAGTCTCAACTCTCTCTCTTCAAAATAAGGCATCTGCAAATGGGCAAATTTAAATTAGAAGATTTCAAGTATTCTCAAATACAGATACATAATTTTAATCAAAGTATTTCATCTAAAATTATTCTAACATTAATCACTTAAAATTATACAAGTTATTTAGGCAAATTCATAAAGCTACTGAAAATACTTACATTATCTATTGATTTAAGCCTGAGACCAATTTTTCCATCTTGATCCTTACACAAAATGACTTCACGAATCCCTTGCTTAATTTCTGCTCTGCGAATTCCAACATCATTACCAGTTACAGGAGCCACCATATAATTCACACTGGAAGGTCTTGCTACCAACTGCTGACAAAAACATATAATTTGTCAATATATAGAAGTGCTCTCCTTGGAAAAAACATTAAAGGGTAATTAACTGGAACATACTGAGTTATGGTTTTCCAGAGAGTAATCTACACACTATTTCCTTCAGATAAAGTTTGATTTCTACGAAAACAATGCTGGTCTTCATCTACTAATTCCTTGGCTAACTTACTTATCATCTCCAGTGGATTCAATAACCTACTCTCTGTCCACTGCCTTTTTAATTCACTGGCATTTGTTTCATGTGTACTTTGGCATGTTTTCATTATTTATCCTTAAACTTAAACACCATGTACATTTAGAACACATTTTCACAGGGTTCTTTTATGCAGTATGATCACTGACAATCTACTTATCTTTTCTGAGTTCCTATAAAAATAGCAGCATTCTTTTCAGTGTTATTGTGAAGATTAAAATAAAAGTGTCTATTACATGGGTCCTAACATGCTTAAGACAGTCAAGTATTACTTATCTTCCCCTTAAATAACCATCTAGGGATTAACAAATCAGATGCACAAACCAACCCACCCCACAATAGCTATATCAGGGACTTGTGTTAGATACCACGCTTTAAGTTTCCATTTCTTTTCATTTTCTTTTACTTCCTCCTTTCCTCAACCAAGACAACAATGAGGGAAGGTCTTATGAAGGTTTCTCTTTTGAAAATTTCTCTTTCTACCATGAGGGAAAAAGCAGAGACAGACAGGCACCCCCGACAGGGTTCGCAGGCTGTGATCTACATAGTCTTAGCCAGTCTGGATCACCTGTATGCATACATGATGTGCTCAGGGAGGTCCCAGGACATAAACCCATGACCCTTCCCACACTGGTCTAGTTATAGTACCACTGCGCCACCATTTGGCCCTTACCAAGGCTTAATTAGAATTTGTAATAGAAACATAGAAAGCTCTAATCTGCTGAAGAATTATGAAGCTCACAGTGGCAGTGATAGAAAATAAGAAACTAGCCACAAAAGCACACAAAATGATAATTTACTAAGAATTCATGGCAATTCCAACAACATATTTTAAGGCTCACAGTCTGACAAGAGTAAGACACATACGCAAATCATTGTACTAAATCAGCACGCAATGCTACTAGAAATTACTTATAAAAGATAAGGAGGGTCCAAAGTTAAAGCTATAAGAGACACAGGAAAATCAGGCCATTGGATAGGAAAAGAAAAACTTTAAGATACAAATGAATTTAGTATAGTTGGAATTCATTTGCTTTAGGATTACCATGAATTCTGAGTAAGTATTCTAAAGCTGTCAGTCTAATAGAAGTAATACACACACACACACACAAATACACTAGAAAAAACAGTAACTTTGAGGTAATGAATATGTTAATTAGCTTGATGGTGGTAATCCTTTCACAATGAATATGTACATCAATTAATCAGGTTGTGAACTTTGAATATATATTTTTACTTGTCAATTTTACCACAGTAACACTGGGGGGAAAAACCCACATGGGACACTGACAGAAGAAAAATACAGCTATGTCAAGTCAGAAATTCACTAGATGGCAAGAGTTAACAGAAATCTCCAGCAACGAATTAAATGAAAACAAATTAAAAAAAGAGGAAAGGAAAGAAAAGGCACTGTACTGAAGGGCCCCAGAGATTCAATCATCTCAAAAATGAATTTAGGTCATACTACCAGGTATAAAAAATAAATAAAGGCCAGCTGAAGTGCAAAGAGCAAAGGGAACAAAGGTGACAGGGAGTGAACAAGGGAAGTTATAAATGGTAACTATGGTCACACGTCCAAGTTACTAAAATAAGAATCCTAACAACTATGACTTTCGTTTCTCCTTGTATTTGTAAATTTTCTATACATACAGCAATTAACCTACTTGCTTCCCATACCTCATTTTATACCTGGCTATCTTCATATTTTCAGTTAAGGAAGTAGGGGCACTGCTGCACAGGGCTGCAGGCCACATGGGAAGTGCCTGCTCTGTGTCCTGGTCCTACATGAACACACTGGGCACCTGCAGACCTGCCCATGATCCCAGTAGCTACAGGGCTGAAAGGACAGTCATGTTAGGGAAACCTTGTTGAGGATGCAACTTTGTCTCTCTCAAAATAAGCAAACTTTAAAAAACAAAACAAAACAAAACTCAGCTGGGAATATGACTACTTAAAGGAGTAATTAATAACACATAGAAATCAACACCGTGTTCCAAGACTACAATAACTGATACCATCCCTTCTAGAAAAAGGGTAGGAGCAACTTGATTTGTATCAGGGTTACCTGGTTTTTGTGCATTTCTGAGTTAAGAATGATTTTCATATTTTTAAAGGTTGTACACCAACAAACAACAAAAACATGTCAGATCACGAATGATCATTAAAACCTAAATACTTTGAGGCCTTTTAGTAAAAAAGTTTGCTGAACTTTAATTTTATGAAGGAGAATTACATCTGTTAAAGGAAAACATACAAAGTTGTTACTGTTGTCATATGAAGTTCAAATATTTGTGGATGTATGTAGAGTACACAGAGTATACTACATGTGTGTGTACAGGGTATACAGAGTGATCAAAGGAACAGAAGGTAACAGGTATGAAGCTACTGTCCATCAGCACCAAACCCACCCTTCTAGACTCTACTTGCTGATGCTGGATTGACTTGAACTGTAAATTACACTCCTTTGTCAGTGTGTTCAGTTAGCTTCTACCACATGATGCCCCAGAGAGAATAGAGAAATGAGTGCTATGTACTATCCTGCGTGCTGCCTATTCCTTCTAGCACAGCCTGAGCCTGGTCCTCCCCATGCCAGCAGTAGTAGACTGGAGTCTCCAGCTCTTCATGACACTCCCAGAAACATACCCCTTACTACCTCTCAGAGGAACAAGTACTGCTAGCAGCATCCCTTCTCCATGGCCTGCATCCCACTCCCTGAGACTCTGCTCCCCAAACTTCTAGGTTCTGTAAATTCTAATCAGTTCCCTGTGTTACCCCAGTCCTAGGAAAAGCAGCTAACTTTCTGCAATTCTATCTATGTTTCATTTTTGCTGTTTTAATTTTTCAGCTTCTTTACTTCCTACTATGATTTCTGTTTTTCCCAACTGGATGCAGACTGATACAAGCAAGTTTTCAGTAAATATTTGGAACTGAATGAATGCCAGGTACTGTATTAAGCACTGGCATTATAGCAGTAAAACAGAGGTATGAAGATAAATACTTTAAGTATTTAATCATAATCAGTGCTATAAAGTGTTATGATCTTGTATCACGACCTTAATAAAAGGTTATCAGATGCAGATGCATTATATTTAAATCCAGACTTTGGATCTAATTACAAGAAACTTTGGATTTCAGAAAGACTGTTAAAAGATTTTAAGGAAAAATACATGACAGACCCGTATTTCATGATTAACCTGGCAGCTCCTCAGTTTGAAATAAACAGTTACCAGAGAAAATTCTAAGACACTAGTGTGATAATCCAGGTTAAAAGTGTAGAAACTCTAAAAGTTATAGTAGAAAAGAAATGGAGAAATGGATAAAATGAATATAAGAAACATGGCAGAGACAGAATTACTAGGTTTTCTTTCTTTTAGGTTTTTGCCATAGGGTGCATGTGCTGGCCAGAGAGACAAGGAGAGAGGCAAAGTGAAAAATCACGCCCTAGGGAGGATGGCCACACCATAATCCCTTCTCCTCCATTCTTCTCTCGGGATGTGGGGCATGCATGTACATGTTCTGGCATGATTTTCAATCATGATCAGCCATGTGGGAGTACAACACCTCAACCACCACACCACCTACTGGACCCAGATTCTGAACTGTAGAATACAAAGCAGAATGAACTAGTAAAAAGGCATTTGAACTTTTAAGTCCTAATAAATTCAGAACAGTGATAACGGTACAAATACAGACTATGCAACAAGTATTATTCAGAAGGAAGTCAAAAATTTCTAGGAAGAGAGAGATCAAAGCTAAAGTTATAAATGTTTATGTCAGTCACCAAAAGGAGAGCTGATAACTAGATATGAAGGATGATTCAATTACATCATACATACCCCCTGCACTGGTGCTCCAGGAACCATGGCCATATTTGCACGTATTTCTTCTTCATTTAAACTCAGGCCCATGTATTGAGAGAGCTCCGGATACAGTTTGGGGTAGAGATCTAATATAAATAAATGGAAAAAAAAAAAAAAAAAAAAAAAAAGCACTGACGGAAATACTTAAAGTATAAGTTACTGTTATTACAAGCATCTACTTGTGTTAAAAAAAATTACGATTTAAGCTATAAAATCTACGATGAATTTCAGGTAGCAATTTGGCACTGCCCAACCCTACAGTCACAATAAGGAGTGGAAAATACAGGCTCAACTGTGGTAGCACGGCAGAAGACACGGTGCTTCAAAGACTGGGACACATGGGAGGCGAGGATGGAGTCTCAGGCCAACCCAGAAGCCAGGTGTGGTGGCATGTGCCTGCCATCCCAGCAACTCAGGGGGCTGAGGCAAGAGGATCGTGAGCACGAGGCTGGCCTGGGCAACCCAGACCCGTCATCAAAGAGCTGGACACGGTGGCGTGCCTTGTACTCCCTACTAGGAGACTGAAGCAGCAAGACTGAGATAGTGAGACTTAATCTAAAAACAAAAACAAAAAACAAAAAAATAGAAAAGAAATAGGAAATACAAAAAAATGTTTAAGGTGAAAGTCATAAAATATGAAGACATTTGAACTAAAGCAATTTCAGGTTTCTAATGACTCAAAAGTATAAATGACTTTTCCAAATAAATTATTTTCCCTTTCTTATTTCTTGAAATAAACCTACTTGATTAGGAATTTTGTAAAAATACCACTGATTCTTCAATTCAGAACTGACCGAAACGTCTGTCAAGCCAGCTATTTTATGATTCACTCAGTAAACATGGCTATGGAATAACTCTTCTGAAGAACAAAAAATCCAAGCTTATAAATTTATTTAACGTTTTCTCATCTTTAACAATGCTAGCCATATTGCAATAAAATCCCTGAAAGAGTTTTTTTTAATTTACTAGCTATGTACTACTTCCAAAAATTATTTTTCACATGATTTATTTGTGAGTTAAAATAGATTTTTCTATAAAAAGCAATGTAACAAATAAATGTAAGAAGAGAGGCCACAAAAAATTCTTTTAACACTCGTTCTGAATCTTAAGTCCTATCATTTAGGGCTCGTGTGAATCCCTCTGAACCTTGAAGAAAAGGGATCAAAGATAGAGTACAGAGACCAAGAATTTTGGGAAGGTCTCCAAAAACAAAGGGGTTGGAAATTTCAGAAGTTTCTCTGGCAAGAAAGGGCAAGAGTAGCAGCGAGGACAACTGTAGTTCGTCTATCGGTATAAGGTTTTCTCATAAATGAACCAGTCACTTATTAGAGACTTAAGAGTTAGGCTAAAATAAACAAGCCACAAAACACATCTTCATATTCACAGTTCACTCTATTAGCCAGAGGGTTATTTTTAAAATGTAAATATTTTTTCTTACTACTACTACTAAAGCTTTAAGCAGCAATCTTATGCATGACGCATTTTTAAAAAATTTGGATTCCCTATTTGAGCAAAAGAAGGCTTAACGAATATTTCTATTCACAGAGGATGAATGTCCAAATATAAACCTACTTCCATCTTGAGAGACAGGAGCAGAGGCTTCTGATAAAATTGCTGGGTTGGCAGGGTTTGTAGAGAAGGCAGTTTGAGCCTGAAATAAAAGAAGAAAATTCTAACAACATGCCATACTTAAAATTCTTATATTATTTCTAAGTTAAATCCAGTATGTCCAAAAAGAAACTAAAACACCAAAGTTTCATTCAAAGAAGCTTAATTTCAATGTTTAGATAGAAATATGCCAACCAAAAATATTTTTAGATTCCCCATATTTAAAGACTATCAAAATAACTAAACAAGCAGGGCCAGCAGGTGGCACAATGGTAAAGGTGCTAGACTCTCACATGGCTAACTGTGGTTCGAGTCTCAGGCCTGGCAGCTTGAAGATCACGCTGGGGATGTATGCATGCGTGCGTGCGTGCGTGCGTGCATGCGTGTGTACTGAAAAACTCCAACAGGATAATGGAGGAGAGTCTGTGCTGTGGCCATCCTCCCAGCACTTTCTCTCTGTCTCCTTCCTATGACAACCTTTCAAAAAAAAAAACACCTGAACAAGCACCATTCTATGTGTCTTATAGCCAGTATTTCATCGTGCTGCTGCAAATTAACAAGCAAGCAATATTTCCAAAATGTGTTTTAAAATGTGTGACAACACTGTTTACATTTTCATTACTCTGTTACCAGGCATGTGTGTATGCATGCCCAAAATCCCAAGAGGAGAGTAGAGAGGGAATGTCGTATGGCCATCCCTGCTGGGGAGTGATTTCTCACTTTCCCTCCCTCTCTCTTTCTGTCACTGTCTCTCTTCAGTGAGCATATGCATCCTATAGCTAAAAATAAAAACAAACAAACAAAAGAAAGATGATTAATTTCTAACTATTAAACAAACATGCAAAATTAATTTGACAAAGTATGCACTTATCAGTGCTACTCATTCTCAACTATCCTCTCAGGACCCTCTTCATAGCCTATATCCTATTAAGGATCTCACTGTCGGAAATATTTTGTCCTTTACAGACAGATCCAAGTTTCTGAAATAGCTACATTTAGAGTAAGTTTGGTAATAAGCTGTATAATCAATCTCTAGTAAGCTATATAATCAATCTTACTTCCTTGGAAATGTGTCAATTAAAAAGGTTAGGGGCCAGTTCTTAATAAAGTAGTTAAGCATTGCACACAGTCAGTCAGATCCTACATGGCTAACCACAGTTCAAGTTCCAGCCCCAACAACGTGAAAAGCACACTAGGCATGTATGCACACACGCCTAAAATCCTGATGGGATGGGAGAAATGGAGAAAAAAAGGTTGTAGCATGACCAAGCCCACTGGGTACTTTCTCCGTACCTCCAACTGTGACTTGTGTAAAGGTATACAGATCCTCTAAACAGTTAAAAAAAAAAAAAAAGTAAGACATTTAATTTAAATAAACACAGCCTACAAAAGCTTTGAATGTAATAACCTCATTTGGATTATAAATGTTCTGATATACTAGTTATTCAGTCATTCTTTAATATTTATTGTTTCTTGAACACTCTAAACTGAAAATACAGCACAAAATTTTTATCACTGTAAACACCAATTCAAAGTGTGTTAAATTTCTATTCTTTTTCTTTTTTTTTTTTTTTTTGGAGAGGTTTTAGCTATTGGGCATGTGCACTTACCAGAAAGAGAGAGAGACAGACAGAGAGACAGAAAGTGAGAAATCACCCCCCAAGGAGGATGGCCATGCCGCAATCTCTTCTCCTCCATTCTCCTCTCGGGATCTTGGGCATGCATGCACACATGCCTGGTGTGAGTTTAAGCCTCCAGGTCTGGGATGCGAACCGCAGTCAACTACATGGGAGTCCAGCGACATAGTCATTACGCTAACTGCTGGTCCCTTGTATGAGTTTCTAGTCTTTTATCCAGTAAAAGGAACTAGTGGGCAGCTGGACTTCTTTGTGAATAATTGCTAGCCAAAAATCAACACAGTTCAACACTACAAAGAAATGAGCTATCAAGCTATGAAAATATATGAAAGAAACTAAAGTGTGAATTATGAGTGAAAGAAGTCAATCTAGAAGGGCTACACATTATATGTTTCCAACTACATGGCACTGTGGAAAAGGCAAAATTGTGGAGACAATAATAAGATTAGTGATTGCCAGGTGTCGCAGGAAAAGGAGGATGAATAGGTAGAACACAGGAATTTTAGGGCAGTGAAACTATTTTGTATGCTACTATAGTGTATATACATGTCGTGTCAAAACCCACTGAGGATACAACACCAAGAGTGAACCCTAACCTAAACTATGGACCTTAAGTTTGATAATGATATGTCAACATAGGTTCATTGATTATTACCAAATTAGTGCTCTGTGTAGATGTTAACAGTGGGAAGCTGTGCACGTGTGGGGCAGGGGTATACTATACTTTCTGCTCCATTTTGTTACAAATCTAGACCAAAAACATACCTTGCTAATTTAAAAAATACTACTCCTTTTACTTTTCTATTCCTTCATTGCTGCTGTTCTTATCCAAGGAATATTAAAAAATTATAGGTGGAAAAAGCTCTCTATAATGAAGATACATAAACTTAATTATGCAATTTGTAGTTCAAATTAAAACAAAAGGTTGTAAAATTAAGGGTATAGAAACTACCAACCATTAGATGTAGCACATTATTACAAACTTACTTGAAATCTGAAACTGTTAGAAGGAAAATATGTAGCAGATGCCCCAAGGACCACCAGTTACTGTTTCTGCTATTTGCCAAAATCATGTGGAGAAAAGAAACCATGCCTATATGGGTCACTTCAGTCAAACTCTGTTCACCACACTAGGAAACTGATAAGCACTGGTTCTCCACATCATTGTTCCTTCAGTTTATTCTAAATAAATAAAAGAATCATAGGCTCCTGCTGGGATTTGGAGAGGAGAGAGCAGATCAGGCATTATGGGATGACTGATGATGCTGAAAGCCAGAGCCTAATGGCTATCTAAAAATCGTTCACAAAATATGAAGTGCCAGCGTTCACTGCTGCAATTTAGCTTCACTGTGGTGTAAAAGGCCAGCAGATGAGAAAATGACTACTACCTCTTTCTACAGTACTTTAAAGGAGCATTTCAAGAACAAAAACGTGTTCACTTTAGAAGATGAAGCAAAAACATAAGCCCAATATTTTAATGACTAGATTAAAAGTATTTTTAAATCCAACAGGAATAAAAAGAACTGCACTTCCCTCTCCTTACTCACTGCTTTATCTCCTAGTAGCTAGCTTTCTGCTCACAACATAAAAGGCTAATGGAAGCACCCATGTAAACTGCTTCTCCGTAAAGAGCTCAGCTTGATGTATGGTAGCTCTATTTTTTAATCAAGCATTTATCAATATCAAGTCTTCTTTATTTCTACCATTTTCAAAATCAAAAGCTTATGCTCAAAGTCAACTATGGTTACATTAAGTTCAAGTCCATAAAAAGCTAACAAGAAAGGATGAAACAAAGATCAGCCATTTTTCCAGATCCATCTGCAAATCCTTACCAGTTAATGTACTAATGTCATATTAATGGCTTAATGGTTATTCTGGAATGCTAAATATTTCATATAAAAGCTTTATAAGAAGAAAGAGTGCGTGTTCAGATGAATTTTGTAGAAATGAAAACCACACTAGAAAAATACACACTGAGGAAAAAAGTGACAGAACATTTAAGGAGATTGAACAGGCCATGTAGTTTCATGGCTTCAAAGCCTTGGCAACTAAACTGAGATCTAAGAGATTTTTGTGTAAACCACATATGAAGAGCCACACTGGATCTATGACGGACAGTAACTGTTCATGATTCCCGCATGTAACACTCTCCCACCTATCGCCCCGTGGTTAAAAGAATATACAATAGCCGAGGAGATTCTGAGTTTATATGAAATCAAGCTGAAAGCAAATTATTAAACAGATGGGTTTATTATATATGCTCCAAAGTATCTCCTGTTAAAGGTTATTAAAATGTCCAAAAAGAAAAACTTATTCTAACCCAACACTTTCTTCTTATGCAAAAGCACCTGTCTCCAAAGCTAATACTTACATGAAGGACTATGAAAATTTTCAAATTAATAAACTTAAAAATAGTGTAATTTTTAACACAGTTGTTTACAGTAGGAAGAAGTGAAATGTCTGTTACTCTAATGGAAAGAAATTGCCACCCTTTCTTGGTGTTTTTCCATTACTACACTTCTAAAAGTAGCATGTACTCCACTATTTCTATCATTTGTAACTCCAAGGAGGAGCATATTATTTTAAAGACTGGTCATACCTGGGACCAGCAAGTGGCATGGTGGTTAAGAGCACTGGACTCCCACATGGCTGACCCCAGTCCAAGTCCCAGACCTGACAGCTTGCTTCCTCACTTTCCCTCTCTCTCGCTTGCTCGCTTTCTCTCTCTCTAGTCAAATTAAAATAAGTAAAATAAATAATACTAAATAAAATAATTAAAAAATAAAAAGACTGGTCATACCTAAAGATTCACAAGTAAAAATTACCAGTGTTACGGAAAACTAAGTATCAATAAGGTTAGAATGTATTTTATCAACTTAAATATGTTTATTTAATTGAAACTGTAGCGACAAAATCAATCTACATTTGAAGAATTGAAGTCAAGTTTTAAAGAAATAGTATCTTAGTTATTCACGAAAAAATGAAAACTGCAAGTTGTTCTGTATTTTGTACTATGTGATTAATAAAATGGAACAGGTGTACAAATTGCAAAAATGAACAAACACGTCTGCTGTTTAAATTTTTTGCTTTACTTCACCTGTAAGTACAATGTATATTACACAGTATATTTTTTAAAGTCTTTAAACATACCTGAATTACTTTGTCTACCTTCAAGTCCTCTAGAGATGGATAGAGAGACATGTTTGCAGGATTTTTCTAAAAAAGGAAAAAGAAAGCTATTTAAATAACACAGAACTTTAAATAGTAGCCAGCAACATACAAAACTAGGAACATCAAGGTCATACCACAAACTGTCAACTGATACTTCAGTGTTACCAAAGGCCATCTCTTTCCCCGACTAGTACTATCAAACTATTGGGTGGCTGGAAAAGTCCTGACGCATTTTTGCACAGAAAAGTAACATCATGCTTTTTCTGACAACCCAATATATCTATCATAGCTTTTAAAAACTTGACTTCAAATAAAAGTCTCTGCATTTCAAAAGTTTAGAAAATCAAAGAGAATATTATGTGAACTACTCCTAGCTTACACAAGGGTTTGGTAACTAAACCCAGATTAAGAGACCACCTTAGAATAATGCTCTTTGGCACCACACAGAGTACATTTCTTTCTAACAATAAAAACCTAAAAACATATATGCAAATCACTGTATAAAACCTCCATCACTAGGAAATATGTGTGTGTATACACACACACACACATATATATGTATGTGAAAAAAATACATATACCAACAATTAACAGTTTTATCTTCAGCAGATAGATAGTAAAGGAATAAGGAAGAGGGAAGTTCATTTTAAACACTTCTATATTGTTCAATGTTTTGAATATGAAGTACACTTCAAACAAAATTCTCTAAAAGTATTACATGGATACTAATTCATGTTGTTTAACTATTTTAAGGTGAATATCTGTACTTTCACTCAACCCAACATCTAACAGAAAAATCCTAAAATCCTAAAAATCCTAAATTGGTATAAGGTTTGACATAGATTCTTCAGTCAGCTATCAATTTATTACCTCCCATCTTCAAATCCATCCCTTATTGCCTGCTCTCCAAAAATTAAGCTGAGCCCTTCAAATACTGCTCTTTTGCCCGCAGACATGATGTTAAGCCTTGTCATTAAGAGCAGCTGGAGGTTCTTCTCCCTGGTTCCAGTGTACTACTCCAGCCAGGCTCCTGCAGTACCTGCTTCTCTAGCACCTTGTGTTCTGCAGGAAGCAGCATCTCAATCATCCTGCAGCTCACCCAAAGCGCTATGCTGAGCAGCTTCACAGCAGAATGCCACCCGCAAGGTATCTCTTCATGAGCAGCTTTCTCAAGCATTCTCTCATGCGGTTTTGCAGCACTCTCAGGTGCAGCAAACCAGAGGGAGAAATTCCAGTAAGTTCCACCAGCTGGATATCTTGGCATCTTCACCATCCACTAAGCACACCTGCCCCCTCTCCAACAAGGCCTGGATCTCAGCTACAGGAGGAGGGTAGCCTTTTCCTGGGGCATTTCATCTCAGCTCTGGAATTAGCATCTTTAAAGTTCTCGTTAAGTCTTACTAGCCATTCACCATTGTTTCAATCATGTTATAGCAAGTAGTTTTGTATGGTAAACTTACACCATTACAACCATTGTATGGTTTCTGTCTCCTGACTGGATGTTGAAGTTCTTTTTAAAACTGATATAATTTACACACTATAAAATTCAGTCTCTTAATGTACCCAATGAAATGGGTTTTAGTATATTTAGAGTTGTGCAATCATTCTCATTATCTAATATTAGGGTATTTCCATCTTCCCCCAAAAAAGGAACTTTGTGTACCGTGTTGTGTACCCTGTTCTTCCTTTCTCCCAGCTCCAGACAACAACATAACATGTCCTGCCTTTGGATCATCTGTCCTGACATCCAGTCTAGAAGTGCAGAGTATGTGCCTGGCTTCTTTCACATAATGTAATATTTTCAAGGTTTACCCAGGCTGTAGCATGTCTCAATACTTTATTCCTTTTCACAGCTGATTAATATTCCAGTGTTAGGTATATACTGTGTTTTTACATTAATTGATGACATTTGAGTTATTCACACTTCTTGGTTATTGTCAATATACTGTTAATAAGCTAATAAGTATCTGTATTACTTAATAAAATATGCAGGTTTTTGTGTAAATATGTCTTTAATGCTCTTAGTTTACAGCTAAGAGTGTAATTACTGGGTCACATGGTAACTCCATGTTTAACTTCTTTTTTCTTTTTTTTGTTTGTGCTTTTTTTTTTTCTTGAGAGGTTTTTCCTATAGGGCGCATGGGCTCGCCAGACACAGAGAGAGAGAGATAAAAAACAAGAAATCACCCTCCAGGGGGGATGGCCACGCCGCAATTCCTTCTCCTCCATTCTCCTCTTGGGATCTTGGGCACGCACGCACATGCGCCCGGCGTGAATTTAAGCCACTGAGTCCAGGACGCAAACCACGGTCGACTACGTGGGAGTCCAGCGACATAGTCATTACGCTAACTGCTGGTCCCCATGTTCAACTTTTTAAGGCAACGTCAAACTAGCTTCTGAAGTGACTGACCTAAGTTATGGTCCCACCAACAACATACCAGGGTTTCAATTTCTCCATATCTACACCACCATTATTTTTTTCTGTAGTTGTGATTATAGTTAGATTGTTTACTGCAACTCATACTTCTTCCCTATGGAGGGGATGACTACTAAAAATTTGCCTCTTAAAAGAGCTTTTTCCAGGACCAGCAGTTGGCTTAATGGCCATGTCACTGGACTCCCATGTAGCTGACAACTTTTCAAGTCCCAGACCTGATGACTTAAACTCACACCAGGCGCGTGTGCGTGTGTGCCCAAGATCCCAAGAAAAGAATGGAGAAGGGATTGTGGCATGGCCATCCCTCTGGGGGGGTGTGATTTCTCGCTTTCTGTCTTTGTTTCTCTTTGTCTTTCTGGTAAGCGCATGCGCCCTATAGAAAAAAATCCTCTCCAAAAAATAAAGAACTTTTCCTGCATTTCTTACATTTTGTTAGATTGTATTTTTGTTTCCATTTGTCACAAGGTATTTTCTAATTTATCTTTTGATTTCTTCTTTGACTCCCAAGAAGCATTCCAGAATGTTTAAATCCCACATATTGATGAATTTTCCAGTTTTCCTCTGCTATGGATTTGTAGTCTTTCCTTGTGGTCAAAAAGGAGACCTGCTATGATTTAAATATTCTCAAACATGTTAGGAATTATTTTATACCTAACGTGATCTATGCAGAAGAATGTTTACTGTGCATTTGAAAACCCGAGTACACTCTGCTATCCTGGGTGGAATGTGCCTATGTCTTTAAGTCCAATTGACTTACAGTACTGCTCAAGCCCACCCCCCCCACCCCCGGTTCCTTCAAGTACTCTCATGATGTTCTATCAACTACCAAAACTGTGATACTGAAATCTCATATGATTATGTTGCTGCCTATTTCTCCCTTCAGTTCAATCATATTTATCTCATATATTTTAGAGATCTAATGTTGAGTGCATATACACATAATTATTATTTTTTCCTGGCAAACTGACCCTCTTACCATTATCTAATGTCCTTCCTTGTCTCTTGTAAGTTTCCAATTTCTACTTTGTTTGATAGAAATGTTGCCAACCCCTACTCTCTTAAGGTTACCAAGTACATGGACTTTTCCATTCTCTCATTTTCAGCCTGCATGTACCCTGAAATCTAGAGTGAGTCTCCTGTAGACAGCACATAGTTAGACCTTGGAAATGTTTTGGTTTTTGTTTTAAAATCTGTTTAGTTACTCCATGTCTTCTGATTGGGCAATCTAGTCCACTATACCTTAAATAATTACAGATAGGGAAGACTTAGAACTGACATTTTGTAAACTGTTTTCTATCTTATACCGTTTTTATCCTTCCTTTCTTCTCTTACCATCATCTGTTCAGTTTCACTTGTTTTTGCAATGATTCCTTTATGCGTGTGTGAGTCTATTTTCTGTAAGTAATTTGTACTACTATGACACACAAAACCTCTTACATTGGGTCATCGGAAAATTCATGATGCATCTTTACAGAGAAAAACATAGAAGAACATGTCGTGACTTTTCCAAAATCCAACACTTTACAATAATCTAGTGTAGGCTGGCAATTTCAACTACATACAGAAACTACACACACTTTCTTCTCACACATTTCAACATCTTGCTTTTGATCTCACAAATTACATCTTTTATACTATGTATGCATTAATACATTTTTTATAGATACTTTTTTTTTGAGAGCACACGCTATAGGGCGTGTGCACTCGCCAGACAGAGAGAGACATAGAGACCGAAAGCAAGAAATCACCCCCCAGGGGGATGGTCACGCTACAATCCCTTCTCCTCCATCCTCCTCTGGGGATCTTGGGCACGCACGCACACGCGCCCCGCGTGAGTTCTAAGCCACCAGGTCTGGGATGCGAACCGCGGTCGACTACGTGGGAGTCCAGAGACAGAGCCATTACGCTAACTACTGGTTCCTGTTATAGATACTTCTTATCTTTGACTTGCATAACCAGAAACAAGTGATTTTACATACTACCTTTGTATTACACTGTTGTGTGTTTTCTATATGTTTGCCTTTATCAGTCAACTGTATGCTTTCAAGTGTTCTCATGTTGCTGAACATCCCTGTTTCAATTTGAAGAACTTCCTTTAGGATTTATTACGAGGCAGATCTAGTGGTGAAGAACTCTGCTTCTCTTCTCTTCTTTAACTCGTGAAAGTCTATGTCTTTCACATCTGAATGGCAGTTTTGCCAAATACGGCACTTTGCTGGCAGTTTTCTTCTTTCAGCACTTTGAATGTATCATTCCATTTCTTTCTAACATGCAAGGTTTCTGCTGAAAAATCTGCTTATAATCCTACAGAAGGTACATTAGTCAACACTCTGCTTTCAAAATCTTTCATCTTTGACTTCTGACAATTTAAGCATTACCTGTCTGATTATTGCCTTTGGATTATTCCTATTTGGACTCTTTTGGGCTTGAATCTAGATGTCCATTTCCTTCCCCAGACCTGGGATGTTTTCACCATTGTTTCTTCAAGTTACCTGTTTCTCTCTCTCTCTTCCTCCTCCTGAAACTTCCAAATTGTTGGGCTGCTGGAAAAGTCATGACATATTTGTTTTCCTATGTAGAAATGCATCATGACTTTTCTGATGACCCAATATATGTATTTGTATGTTAAACTAGTA